CCACTTTCTCCCTACCACCTTCCCCTTACCCTCCTGGTATTGCTACTCTCATTCATTATTGGTCCTGAGGGGTTTATCTGTCCTGGATTCCCTGTTGCAAGCTCTTATCTGTACCACTGTACATGCTCTGGTCTAGCCAGATTTGTCAGGTAGAATTGGGCTCATGATAGTGGAGGAGGAGGAAGCATTAAAGAACTAGAGGAAAGTTTTATGTTTCATTGGTGCTACACTGCACCCTGCCTGGCTCATCTTCCTTGTGACCCTTTTGTGAGATGTCCAAATGTCTACAAATGGGCTTTGGGTCCCCACTCCGCTCTCCCCCTCATTCACATTGATATGATTTTTAGTTCTGGGTCTCTGATGCCTGATACCTGTTCCCATCAACACCTAATGATCATACAGGCTGGTGTGCTTCATCCACATGGACTTTGTTGCTTCTCAGTTAGATAGCCACTTGCTTATCTTCAAGCCTTTAAGCCCCCAGATGCCGTATCTTTTGATAGATGGGCACCATCAGTTTTCTTCACCATATTTGCCAAGGCTGTAAATCTTTAGAGGAGCAGAAAGACTCATCTTTCTCCCTGGAGCAGTAGGTGGATTCAAACAACTGACCTCGTTTTAGCAGCAATGTGGAACCTATTATAGCTCTAGGAACCTTTTGATCCCACATAAACAGTTCTAAAAAGATCTACTGATTTTTGTTTTTAGAAGCCAGCTACTGAGTTCTGATCCACACCAACCCTATGAACAACATAACATAACAGGGCTTGGTCTTGCACCATCCTGACAATTGTTACTAAAGCCCATTGTTGCAGCCACCGCGTCAATCCATCTTGTTGAGGGCCTTTCTCTTTGTTACTGCCCCTCTACTTTACCTAGCATGATTTCCTTATCCAGGGACTAGTCCCTCCAGACAACATGTCCTAAGTATGTAAAATGAAGTCTCATTATCCTTGCCATTAAGGAGCACTCTGGCCATACCTCTTCCAAGACATGTTTGTCCGTTTAGAAATCCATAAAACTTTCAATATTATTTGCCAACACCAAAATTTAAATATATCTATGCTTTTTCAGTCTTCCTTTCAATCAATGTCCAACTTTCACTTGTATGTGAGCCAAGTGAAAATATTATGGTGTGGAAGTTATATAACCTCCTGTTAACTTGAGTGAAGGGGTGGAGTCTAACCTGTCAATCAGGTCATAGCCAATATTGCCTCTGCCTGGGCATAACCTTTTCCTGAGGATTCTGGGAACTCCTGTCTTCCTTCCAAGAGGTGGCACACACTGTCTGCTTCATTTTTCTGTCAAGCCATATGGAGTTATGCTGATGGAGCCTGACCACTAGAACTGGAAGAGCAACTTGGAGACCCATGCCAGTGCTGAGATGCTTCCACCACCATTAGATCCACAAGACTTTCCACCCACTGGCCTGTGACCTTCCTGCATTCAGCATAATTGGATGTGTTGCATTAGTCTGAAGAGGAATTTATAAACTGGTATCGGACATATGGGCTAATATCGGACTTATGGACTTGAACTGGACTGAGCTGGACTGAACTTATGGACTTGAACTGGACTGTTTTCTTAATATACAATTACTCTTTGATATAAAGTTCTCCCTTACACATACATGAGCATCTCTGGATTTGTTTCTCTAGTCAACCCAGACTAACAAACATGGTTTAAGTAAGACACATTTTAGTCTTCAAAGGAAGCTCTGGTTTTCAACACTCTAAAGGAGTTTTGTGCAGATTTATCCAATGCAACACATCTTTTGATTTCTTGACTGCTACTTCTATGAGCAATGAATGTAGTCCATGCAAGACAAGTCTTTGACAATTTAAATCTTTTCTGTTTATCATGAGGTTTCCTATTCATCTATTTGTGAGGGTTTGGGTCTTCTTTACACCGAGTTTAATCAGTACTGAAGGCTGCAATCCGTGATCTGCATCAGCAAATGCTTCAAGTACTTCTCACTTTCAGAAAGCAAGTTTGTGTCATCTGAGTATTGTTAGTAAGTGTTCCTCCAATGCTCATTCCACATTCTTCTTCATATAATCCAGCTTCACTATTTGCTCAGCATGCAGACTGATGAGAAACTATCACCCTAATGCACACCTTTCCTGATTTTCAACCATGTGGTATTCCAGTGTTTTGTTCACACAACTGCCACGGGATCCAAGAGCACAATGCGTGAATACAATGAAGTATTCTGGAACTCTCATTTTTCTCAAAGCTATCTAGAGTTGTGTAGTCAATGAAACATGGAACATGAGTAAAGGTCTTTCTGGTACTTTCTGCTTGTAGCCAAGATCTATCTGACATCAGCAAAGACCTAGTTAAGCTATTGTTTGGTTCTAAGAAGACTTTATTTTCTAAAATAAATGTATAGGAAGAATTGTGATGATGGCACAAGATCAAGTAGTGTTCCGTTCTGTTGTGCATAGGGCACATTAGGTTGGAACCAAATTAAAGGCACCTAACAAAAACCCATCATTATATGACATGAATATCGTATGATTATATAGTTCACAAGTTTTTGACAATCACAAATACAAGAAAATTTCACCTCAGGGAAGGGTGGTTCTTCAGTTGGCTCCAATCCTTTTGTGCACATTGTGCAAGCTCTCTGGCTGCATCCCAGTCCCCACTGGCCATCGCAGCAGAAATATCACTCAGCATGTGTGCAGCTGTTGCATACCTGGGCACAACGACAACACTGTCTATGTTCCAGATATGAATGAGCATTCTTGAAAAACTACCATGTCCCATCTACTACATGTAACTCTAAAGGTTAAAGTGTTTTGTTGTTGTTGTTTAAATCACGGTTATTTAACTTTTATTCTAATAATAATTCAATATACTATCTTTTGGACTGGCTCAGAAGAATACAGGCTACCTAGCAGAAAGATAAGAACATTTACACTACATTACCACATAACATAAGGATCCTGGTTGTGCAGAAGTTAGGCACTAGGCTGCTCACTGAAAGATTAATGGTTCAAACCCAATGTCATCTGCAGGAAAAGGATGTGGCACCATGTTCTGTGAAGATTACAGCTTTGAAAACCCTTTGAGAACAGTTCGAGACTCTTTTTGTGATTGAGCAAAATTTCTTAACACAACCCTTCTACTCATGTCTCTATAACTCCCACCAAATGATTGGTAGGACCATGCAAATAATGTGCAATACTAAAAGAGGGATTGGTCAGTTTTAGTTGCCACTCCCCTGGCTATCAGGATAAGTGATCTTTGAAGCAGGAAGAGAGGGGAAACTCCACAGCCATCAGAAGTGGAACAATTTCAAGATGTCTGAAGCGGAGAGGTCACAACCAAAGGAATCGAGGCTGTGGCATGGAGACCATGGGACAATGCCTAAAAGCCAGGCTAAGACCAGGGTCCAAATCAAGGAGACCTTGACACTGAGCACTCAAGCAGTGTGGGGACTAGGAGACGAAGAGGCAGAGCACTGGGTGGGTTTCCTGGCCCATGGAGACAGAAGCCAAGAGATCATGTGACTGAGAGACAGAGGACAGAGGTTAGGTTGCTGGCTGTGGAGAGCTATTGATATGAATCAATGACTATTTCCTTAGTGTCTACTGATCCTGACTCATGGTAACTTATCAGGATTACCTTGGGATAAAGAGGAAGCTTCCTACTCCTGTAAAGAGTTATAGTCTCAGAAACCCACAGGGCAATTCCACTCTGTCCTATAGGGTTGCTATGTGTGGGAACTAACTTGGAAGCATTGAGTTTTTGTCAGGATGACCAGAATAATAAACCCCATAACTCTGAATATTGTCTGTGAGTTCTGTGCAGCTGATGCAAGGAAGTATTGAGCCCACCATAAAAGCAGAATGTTGTGAACAGGTAAGGGGGTCTGAATGGGTGAACAAGAATGGAGCACGGAGACATGCTTGACCCCTGCCTTGTGGCAACAGGGAAGCCAGAGGTGGTTGGCTCTGGCGCTCCTCTTGGGCTTTTCCACAGTCCTGTATGACAATTATGAGTCAGACTCAACACCAGTAAGGAGTACGGATTTTATCACCTCATTACCGATTAGTTCATCAATTCTAATTTTTGAGATTCATTCACTCATTTAACAACTTGGCAATAACCACATAAAGATGTAATTAACCTCTGACTTACATTAAGGTGTGAATTTAGTAAGTTAATCATTTATTATCAAAAATAGCCAAAGTTAAGCTGGCCAAGCTAAGAGAATGACTTGATCCATTACGAAAATAAATTATTTGATAGACAGCAATGCTGAAATGTTATGAAACCAATTAAATGAAAAAAGATTTCTCACTGGCAGCTTTAAGTACTAGGATCAAAGACAAATGACCTTCTAATCTGTAACACAGTACACACCCATTGCACTTTGAACTCATGTGTAAAAAAAAGTATGCAGTATCAAATATGCAAATACTGTAAAACCAGAGTAAAAGAAATTGCGTCTAAATGTACATATTCTCTTATGACTGATAACTGGACAATCCTATAGTCAATAAGAAAAAAGCAAGAAGATGGCTGAGGCTGGTGCAGGCTACCAATAACAACTGTTCTAAGCATGGCCACAAAGATGAACCTTCGTAGAATGGGATAACAATGTGAAACAGCTAAATTTCCTGAAAAAAGTACATATGGAACTAGTCAAGACTGAAGACTTCCAAAGACTGAGACATTCTTCAAAGCTAGAACCAAAGCTAACCCCTTCGATCACACTGTAACTAAATAACGGATTGGCTCACACATTAGCAAATATCCCCCATAAATACCTGCACCTTTACAAACATCACCTATATGATACCGCCAAATGGTCAACATTCACCTTAAAACTAAGATGAGAATGTAAGGGGGCAGGAAATGAAACAACCTGAATAAGAATGTTTATTTGTCGTAAAGAATGCAACCAATGTCACTGAACAATTTGTCTAGGAAGTGATGAACGGGAACCTAAACTGCTGTGTAAACCTTCACCGAAACACAGTAAATTATCTTGTTTTTTAAAGATGCTATGAGAACATAAGCCCATTCAAGACTCAAGCTCACTCCTGTGAAGGCAACTGCAACTCATAAGGCGCCCTGGAGACGTAGTGCATTGTGTGTTGGGCTGATAGCACAACATCAGCAGTTGGATGGTCACCAAGCCTCTCCTTGGAAGATGAGGCTTTCTACTCCTGTACGGATTTACAATCTTGGAAACCCACCGAGGCAGTCCTATTCTATCCTATTGGGTTGCTATGATTAAGACATAACCCTACAAGCCAGGAAAAATTGGGGCTCCTCTCACTCAAAACTCATTGTTTTGTCAACCTTAATCTAAACACATTCCTACATTTCTCTTAATAGGTCTTAGAAATGTATTTGAGAGAGGTAAAAGATAAAGAACAACCAAAAAAAATCCTTAAGTATCACTTTGGCTATGGGCTTAAGTTTCTACTGTGGTAAGCAAAAATAAAAGCTTTTACATTAGTTAAAAGACAGAGATATTATGTGAGCTAATATGGTCTTACTTGATGAGATCGTCTCTATCTTGGAAGATTTTGGTTTTTCGATAGATGGTGTAACTAGGAAACTTAATTTGGCCAAAGTTGACCAATAATAGTACAGTAGAAAGCTGTCCCTGTCCACCACATGCAGCTTCTTCATCTTCCATTGAATTGGTCAATGAAAACAGTAGTAAGATTCGAGAAAATACAGCCCTGGGGCCTTTACAAATTCTTAGGGACGGGCCAGCGAAGTCTTTAGCCCTGAAAAAAAAATACAATATAGAATTACTTTTCCTTTTTTAGGGATTTGGCTATCAGATATTAGAAATTATTCAGCTAAAAATAAGCATAAGTAGCACTCAATACTGCCTGTAGCTGCTTTTTAAAATTTTTAGAGTTGAAATTCTAAATCTATCACTTGTAGCTGTGTGACTGTGGAGCATTTCTTAACCTCTCTAAGAATATTCAAATTCAAAACTGACTGCTGTCCAGTCGATTCTGACTCATAGTGACCAAACAGGACAGAGTAGAACAGCCCCCTCTGGGTTTCCAAATCTTTACATCTTTAATGAGAGGAGAAAGTCTTATCATTCTCGCAAGGAATGGCTGGTGGTTCCAAATTGCAGACCTCTCACGCAACCCAATGCATAATCCACTACACCCAAGCTGAAATTTAAATGAAATAATGTTTCCCAACAATTTCATACATGGTTTGGTTCAATGGAAGTATATTCTTCCCTAACCAGAGATAGAATAGGGCTTACCTTGGTCTTGAACATTACAAATAGTAGAAAAACTATCATAAAAGTTATCATCTACTCAATATTACCAATTCTCAATTCCAGTTGCTATTTAGATTAAATAATAGATATTTATTTTAAATGTCCTTATCAAAATCTGTTGGTAAGGCATGTATTTTGCACACCAGCAGATGAAATAAAGATGTCTCAGGTTTGGGATTACTCTCGGATGCACAAATGTGGTCCAGAGTAATCTTACAGGGATGTAGTTCAACTCTGGGTTGGAGAGCTGAATTACAGTCAGAGCTACATGGCCTTTGGGACTCTAGACGTGCGTTCTCTCCATCGTCAAGTTTCTCAACATCAGCACTATTTAGGGGCTGTATTACTCTTTGTTGTGGAACCTCTCTTATACATTGCAGGATAACTCACAGTATCCCTAGCCACTACCCACTAAATACCGGTAGCACACTTCACTTCCCCTAGTGTTACAACCAAAAATGTTTCCAACATTACCAGATACATTTGGAAGCGTTGATACTGACATTTTTCTTACTAACATAAGCCTCATTATACCCATGTTCCATTAAAAATGTTACTTACACTATCTTCTCAACAAGAGCAAACTCAGTTCAGGATGTTCAGGATATACAATGGTGGTTCAAATTCACAAATACACACTCACTGCTCTTGAGTCAATGCTAACACTTAAGGGCCATATAGGACAGAGTAGAACTGCCCCTTGGGGTTTCTGAGGTTGTAAAGTTTTATGAAAGCAGAAAGCCTCATCTTTCTTCCAGGGTGGTTTTGAAGTGCAGATTTTGCTACTGCTATGCTATCAGGGCTCCTCAGAGTATATATGTAAAATAAGCATTGGCATCATTTTTCAAGTGTTTTGAAAAGCATAATTTCATTTTATTCTCAACTATTTCAAAATAGTGGATATGTACACTGAAATTGACTGATTTATTTTATTGATAGCAGGCATGACAAATCAAAATTTCTAAAAGTCGATATAATTCTCCCTAAACTGAACCAGTGTAAGAGTTAAAGGATTAATGAAACTGCTCATAGTTTTCTGTAAATGTTTATGTTTCAATCCATAGAAAGCTGCATAATAAAGTTGGATCAACTATACTTTAAAAGTGTACAAAATAACATTATGACTAAAATCCTGTAAAAATCATAATCAAAAACTTTTTCTGCTTAATCTAACTGAAAAAAGCATTTACAATTAAAAAAGTATATAACCTATTACAATAAGTTAACATATACTATTAAGATTTTAAATGTTTTTACTGTAACAATAGTTAATAAAACCTTTTTAAAATCACTGCTCCAATACCAGGCTGATTCTTGTCCCAAGTGAAGACTGAACGCTGTTTGGCAAATTTGAGAAAGGAGTTCACCAACTGCTGCTTCTGCCCATTAGGTTTCAAGTGAAAGATCTTCGCCAGCGTTTTTAGTTCAACTACAGAAAGTAGCTCAAGCACGTCAGACAGTTCTTGCAATTCAGCTTCTGAAATAATTTTAAGTGATTAAAATTCATTTTCAGAATATTACAACTTTATTTTATAAAGGAGAAAACAGAGATGCAATGAAAATGAAATTCTACTGTAGAATTCCTTTTTTTAATGCTCTAAAATAAACTTTGTCTATTCTATTTAGTCATTCAACATATGTTCAGTACCTATTATATCCATGAACAGTGAGAGCAATTTAATATACTGGGATCACAACTGAAATACAAAACTATTGCCATGAAAAATGTCCATGTGTATGTATACATACACATCTCTGATCTCTGTGTATAAACTTCAGTCAGTGTGTGTGTAACACAAATAAATGGACACAAAATGCCAAGTATTATAGCAAAGGCACAGAAGAATTGGACTTCAACCACAGAGAAACACCACCTTCTAAGAAAGAGTCCTGTTGTGAGGGTGCCAGCGAGTCGGTTCAGACCCACAGTGACCGTATGCATGACAGGAGACGTGTGCACCCTCACAATCGTTCCTGTGCTTAAACCCAATGTCAATCCATCTTCTTGAGGGCCTTCCTTTTTCTCTGCCCCTCTATTTTCAAAAAAAAATCATTTTATTGGGGGTTCGTACAACTCTTATCACAATCCGCACATACATCCATTGTGTCAAGCACAGTTGTACATTTGTTGCCATCATCATTCTCAAAACATTTGCTTCCTACTTCAGCCCTTGGTATCAGCTCATTTTTACCCCTCCCACTCCCCCCACATGAACTCTTAATAATCTATAAATTATTATTTTGTCATGTCTTACACTGTCCGATGTCTCTCTTCACCCACTTTTCTGTTGACCATCCCCCTGGGAGGGGGTTAGATGTAGATCCTTGCAATCGGTTCCCCCTTTCTACCCCACCTACCCTCCATCCTCCTGGTATCGCCACTCTCACCATTGGTCCTGAGGGGGTTCATCTGTCCTGGATTCCCTGTGTTTCTAGTTCCTTCTGTACCAGTGTA